GGTCTCATGGGAGATAGACACAACCCAGCTTTGGACCTAGATCTTCAGACAGAAGCCAGTTACCATACCCGTTTCAAATGCCACCTGTTCCGTACAGTCCTCAGGTGTTCGGGCCTGCCATTGTTGTGTTTCGTCCCATCCTCTCCAGTGGGAGAGAGATTTAGCCGTGAGGGCTCATAGGCACTCGGCCCGGGCACTGAGCTGCCTGCCTTTGCTGAGCCACCAGGAGCTGCCCTGACAGCTATGGTCCACGTGCACATAGGGCAGGTGCCAGGCAGACAAATGAGTACGAGGTCACAGCTGCCAATACCCTGGGAGCAGTGTAAGGGGAAGCTAGTTTTGAAGGGATGGGATGGCTTTCTGAAGGGGCCTCAACAGGTGGAGAAACAGACACAGAATGTCATTCCCTGATGAAGGCTCACTGAGCATTTCCTTTCTTATGCCCCAGGCCCCATGGGGACAATAAAATGATAAAATTTACCATCTTTGCCCTCAAGAGAGTGCACACTGTGGCCTGGAAGTTAGATATGGATATAGTCACCTGCGGGGGTGGGAGGTCAGGAAGGCTTCCTAGGGGTGAGGATTGGAGTGGGGCCGAGAAGGAAGTGTAGGAATGTGCCAGGCTGCTTGGGGGTCTGGGCGCTTGTGCCAAGGCTGAAGACAGGCAAGAACATCGTAGCCTCTTGGAAGAACATGCGGACTTGTGGTCTGAGACTAGATTGAAAGGAGAGATGGAGGTGCTCCAGTGGGGTACCAAGGCTGTGTTTAATGTCATTAGCACCTCTTGGGCTCCAGGGGAAGGGAGAAAAAGATGGTGGGTGGTATTAAAAAAGAATAACTATTTGGGAATCACTGATTCAGGCAGAAACCCGAATCATGTTCCAATTAGGAAACAAAAGCAAGGAGTATTTATGAGAAAGGGAAGGGGAACGATTACATCAGTAGAAGGAAGGCATTTTTATTGGTGTAGAGAAGCTAAATAGTGAGTTTTTAAATTTCAGTCTGGTAGTCATAATATCTGCTTTCTTGTTATCCTTGCAAACATTTCTTTAAGACAGTGTTGCTTCAGGCCTAGTCCAAAGGTTATTTTGCCATTTTAACACTACAAAGGTTTGAGGCCTGAGGTGTGCAAGACAGTTCCTCTGGGATGGCAGCTCTGGCTCCATTTTAAAGTGGACGTTAATTTTTTTTTTACAGTGGGAATGCTCCCCGCCTTCACATCACCAAATTTAGGGTCTTGCGTTCTAAGTATTATTGACTGTGAGCACCTTTGCTGATGAAATCACCCCCTCTTCTCCCTCCCTAGTGACCCAACAGGAGAAGACCCCACCGCCTAGGCCCAGCCTGCTAGAGACAGGCAGCGATGGCTGCGAGGAGCCCAAGCAGCAGGTGTCTTGGGAGCAGGAGTTCCTGGTGGGGAACAGCCCGGGAGGAAGTGGGCGGGCGCTGTGCATGGTGTGTGGGGCCGAGATTCGGTCCCCCTCGGCAGACACAGCGCGCGCGCACATACTGGAGCAGCATCCTCACACCCTGGACCTGAGCCCTTCTGAGAAGAGCAACATCCTAGAGGCCTGGAGCGAGGGGGTAGCCCTTTTGCAAGATGTCAGAGCTGAGCAGCCATCCCCACCCAACTCAGGTAGTTGGGCCTGGGGTGGGGGCAGGGGAGTCGGGCCTGTGGGAGCACCTGGAGCTCATGGAGCGTTTGCCACCTTCAGACTCAGGCCAGGATGTGGATGTGGACCCTGACTCCACCCCAGACCCTGCCGGAATGCCAGCGGAGATCGTGGTTCTCCTTGACTCTGAGGACAATCCATCCCTCCCTAGGAGGAGCCGGCCCAGAGGACTCCGCCCCCTCGAGCTTCCTGGTCAGTCGTGGGGGGCCAGTGAGGCTGAGCTGGGGGAAGGCTGCTGGGCAGGTAGCTTCAGCAGCCCTAAGGTTGTGGGGTTCAGGCATGTCTCCCTAAAAAGGTGTGAGGCCTTTTCTTTTTGCAGCTGCCCCTGTCACGGAACCAGTAAGTAAGAAGCCCCGTGGTCAGAGATGGAAGGAGACCTCTGGGGAAGAACCAGTCAGAAAGAAAAGAGGCAAAACTATGACCAAAACCTTGGACCCGGACCCAGACCCGGACCCCGATCCAGACCCAGGTGAAGGGGGTGGGGGCAGGCGGGGTCTCTGGCTCTCTGGAGAAGAGAGCCCAGCCAGTGGGGGTGGGGCAAGGCCCAGGCCTTTAGGGTCTAGCCTCAGAGGGGTTAGGCCGCCCAGCCTCCTGGACTCACAGTTCCATCCTATCCTCCCTTCCAGACCCTCCATCACCTGACTCGCCCACAGAGACTTTCGCAGCTCCCGCCGAGGTCCGACATTTCACTGACGGCAGCTTCCCTCCCGGCTTCGTCCTCCAGCTCTTCTCCCACACCCAGCTCAGGACCTCAGACAACAAGGATGCAGCCAGCGAGGGGAGAGCAGCCGAAGGAGGCCTTCCCCAGCCAGAGAGCCCCTCTCCAGGTGAGCTCCCGAGAGGGGGCGACAAGGGGTCAGGCAGGCTGCATCCTGGGCTCTGGGCTCTTTGAGGCTGCTCTGCAGCCTCATGGCTCGCCAGGGTAGAGGGGTTGGTGCTTGGGTCCCTTGGGGGATGGGGCCGGGCAGGCGGATTTGAAGGATGGAGGCTGGCCAGAGGGCTTGAGCTTTTCTGAGAGCTCCTCGGGAGTATCCTGGCGTTGGTTGTTAGGCTGGGCTAGGCCAGTGTGCCCCAAAGCTTGACACCCACCGCCACACTTAGGTTGATTCCAGCTGGAGCCCAAGAGGGGCCCACCTTGCCCTGGTGGAGCAGGGGCTCAAATGGGGCCATTAACAGGAGCCTAGGCCAGTGGTAAACTCTCAGCTGACACCTCTGTGGGGGAAGCAGCTCGGCGAGTTAGCTGATGATAGCAATGAGCACACACATTTGTAGCGTGCCCTGCCGATTTTTAGAAACCTTTACATGTAGTTCATTTGGTGCTTATAGAAATACCTCTTCCAGGTGGAGAGTCTCAGAGAGGTCGTTCCCTCTTTCCCGTGGTGCTTGTGTTGTTTTCCTGTGGCTGCTGTAACAAGTCACTGCAAACTTGGTGGCTTACAACCACACGAATGCGTTACTTTTACTTCTGGAGATCAGAGGTGTGGGATGGGTCTCACTGGGCTACGATCAGGGTCAGGGTCGCGTTTCTTCTGGAGGCTATAGGAGGCAGCCTGTTTCCTTGCCTTTTCCGGCTTTTAGAGGCCGCCCGCATCCCTTGCCTCGCACTCTTCCATCTTCTAAGCCCAGAGTGGCCAGCAGAGTCTTCCTTAAGATGCCATCTTTGGTCTGACGCTTCTGCCTGCCTCTCCCTCACATAAGGGCTTTTGTGATTACACCGAGCCCACCCAGATCGTCCAGAATTTTCTTAAAGTCAGCTGACTGCACCATTAATTCCATCTGTAGCTTTAGTTCTCCCTTCCTGTGGGACATACCACAGTCATAGGTCCTGGCGATTAGGACGTGGACGTCTTTGGGGACCGGTATTCTGCCCGCCATAGTCACGTAAGCACACAGTGGCAGAATTCCCGAGACTAGAACACAGTAGGGCGGAGACTGAACTTGGTTCCTCTCTTCCCCTCGCCATGCCAGGCTCTGCTCGAAACATCTCGGGCCCAGGAAATGGTTCTTGAAGAAGGGAATGAGTGACACAGAGTGCCTTGTGCCCCCTGTCCCGCCCCCGCCCGTCTGAAATGTGCTTTGGAGTTTGAGCCTGAGAAAGATGGCACCCGAAAGGGTAAAGCAAGCCTGCCACCTTTCCAGCCCACGTCACTCCCGGGTGGTGACCGCCGTTGATCGTTTACTTAGTATCCTTCAGACCTGTGACAGAGCTCTGTGTGTGCATATGCGAGCATTTGTGCCTTTTATTTATTTTTTACCAAAACAGGCCGCGCTTTTTCCGATCTCGAGGCAGGCCTCATCCCTTCGTGTAGATCGCGGTTTTAACTGTCTCAGGTTTCAGCTTGAGACGCATCGCAGTCCTGCCCCCTGAGACTGCGCTCTGCTGGGACATGAGCATGTCCGAGCCGCCTCGTTCTCTTCGGTGGATCGCTGCTCTAAATGGCTGACCTCTTCCACTGTTCAGTGGGTCTTCTGGTTTCGTTCTCGAAAGGGAGACTTCATTTTGAGCCCTGGGGTACCCTGTGCCCAAACTCCACCTGTCTGGAGTGGTGAGTAGCTGAGGAGGGAATCCCTGAGATCTCAGGTTCCTTTGGGGTGAGTGGGCAAAGCCTGAGACTTTGGGGTTCAACAAGCTGATTGCTGTAAGGGATGGAGGGGACTGACAGGCGTTCCCAGCAGTGGCGGGATCTGTGGAGGCCGGACGTGGCCCGGAAGCCGCAGAAGACACTAAATGATGCGGCAAGTGTTCCCGCAGCCCAGCCCCGAGCAAAGCACTCTGGGAAGTAACGCGAGCGAGGCAGCATTTGTTCCCAAGAAGCTCACAGTCTGTCGGGGGGGTACAGGTCGGAGGCAGTGGAGCAGATCGAGAATAGCGGGGCACCCGCGCCAGGTCTGTGCAGAGCGGAGGCTCCAGACCGTTGGTTTCGGGCTATTTCAAGATCCCAAAGCTTGAAAGGATTTCTCAGAAACCGTGAGGCTCCACCCAGCATGTGTCTACTTTGAGTTGTTTTATTTGAAGACTTTATCTGAATAAAGATCCTACCACTTTAAAAAGTTTAAAAACCAAAGATTTAGAAGTTGGAAATTTCACTGTGGTCAGGTCAGCTGAGCTGATGGATAGGAGTGTGAAGCAGTCAGAAGATTTCTGGAACTTTCCAAGGGCCTTGCAGGATGAAGGTGGGGAGGGCGCCCAGGCTAGGAGAGAAGGTTACCCTGAGGGTCTACTCACGAATACAGGAAAAAAGCCTCTTTGTCTTACTAGTGATTAATTTGGGTTGGACCTCGAGATCTGGCTTAGGATACCTTGGCCAGACCCCACGAGTTCCCAGGCCAAGGAAAAAGGAGTGTGCGTGTGTTTGTGTGTGTGTATGTGTGAGAGAGAGGGAGTGTGCGCGTGTGTGTGTGTGTGTGTGTGTGTGTGTGTGTGAGTGAGCGAGTGAGCGAATGCATGTGAGTTTGAGCTTCATGAAGGGCAGGGGCAGAGTCTGTTCACTGCTGTGCCCTCAACACCTAGAACAGTACCTGGCTCAAAGAAAGCCCTTAGTAAAGATTTACTGACAGATGAGTGGTTGGATGGTGGCCGCCTTCACCTGTCATTCCGGCGGTGACATTTCCAGGGTCACTGCTCAGAGACAAGCCTTAATGAAAAACAAGAGAAATGGAGTCAGGCCCCCCCATGCGCACAGATGTGGAAGAAAGCATGGAATGGGCTAGGTGAGGAGGGAAGGGGGCGGTTCTGGGTTGGGGTGCTAAAGGGGCTCAGCTGGACTGAATTTAATTCCTTTGTCTTAAGGTCTCTAACCTAGTTCTTATGATGTGCTGGACTCGTAATGTTATCTCCTTACGTCCACACACCATCATGTATTAAGTACTGTGATTTCCATTTTACAGGAGAGGATGCAGCCTCAGGGGGTAAGGCACTCACTCCCTCAGGGCCCCTTACCTTTGCGGGTTTCCATTATGCCCACACAGACACCCTGCCCGTAGTGCCAAGGACGTCCACCAGCTCCTTCCTTCCCCCACCCAGGGCCATATCCTCTGCCGTCACTCCCACCGCTGTGACTGAACTGCCCCTGCAAAGGCCGGCACTTCGAGACCCATCATTAGAGCCAGTCCCCTTTCCCTGGCCATCAGTTCTCTGTCGCACCCATCGGTTCTCATGGATCTTGCTCAGCAGCCTTCACGAAGCTGATATTTCTCTCTTGACCCTTCATTCCTCCTAGCCACTGTCCCGTTTGTCGCTAAGCCTTTTCAGCAAAGCCGAGAAGCATTTTCTGTACGGCTTCCAGTCTCTTTTCGGAAATACTTCAGTCAAACTCTCATCTTCACCCCACCACATGCACTAAAATTTTTTTTGGCAAGGTCGCCATTGACTTCCATAAAATTAAATCTGGCGCTCAGTTCTCATCGTCTCTGACCTGGCAGTAACCGTGAACCCACCCCTCCCTTCTTCCTGGAGGCACTTTCTGCCCTTGGCTTCTTGGCAGCAACTCCTGGTTGTTTTCCTGTCGCAGTAGCTGTCCCGTTTCACTTGACTGTTTACGGCTCCTCAGGTTGGAGCCTACTGTCTTCCTTCCCCGTTCTGGAATGTAAGCCCTTGCAAAGTCAGGATGTTTGCCTGGTCATTTACTGTGATATCTCCAGTGCCTGGCATAGAATCAGTGCTGCTTACATACATATTCAGTGAATGAATGAATGCCTCAACCACAGGATCTGTACTCACTCCCTGGGTGTCCCCACATAGAATTACAACTTTAAGTACCATTCATATGCTCACAGCTCCTGCCTTGACCCTCCAGCCTGGACCTCTCCCCTTGATTCCAGCCTCCCTTCCTGTTGGCCTATGTGACACCCCTGCTTGGTTGTCTAAAAGGTCAAGCCTGACATATCCGAACAGAGCCCACGGCCCCCTCCCCTCACCCCAAGCAAACCTCTCCCAGGAAGATGGCCACTCATTCTTCAGTTGGCCTGGGTCAAGCCCTTGGAGGAGTCAGTCCTCTCTCTCAAACCACCATATCAGTCTAGCAAATCTGTTAGCCCGACCTCCAGGTGTATTCAGAGTAGCTGAATACACTGCTGCTACCCTAGACCAAGCCGTCTCCAGCCTGGTTCCTGTAACAGCTGCCCAGCTTGTCTCTGGCTTCTGATCTTTGCCCGCTCTGGTCTGTTCTCATGCAACAGCCAGTGTCCCTATCGAAAACAAAGTCATATCCTGGCTGTGCTCTGCTCAAAGCCCTTTCCGTGCTGGTCCCAGTCATGCTCCAGATAAAAGCCAGGATCTTCGTGGTGATGCGGTTCTCGCCCCAGGATCTTTACTTCCCCTCCCCCACGCACTTGCTCTGGGCAGGCCCCGGCCTCGCTGTTCCTCCAGCGGCAGGTGCGCTCCGCTGAGGTGCCTGCACTCGCTCTTCCTTCTGGCCAGAATGCTGTTTCCCAAGCTCCCTGCATAGCTAACTCACTTCTTGTCCATCTTTGCTCAAGTCCCCTTCCCTGGCCTATGTCCTTTGTTTCTGTCAGTATATATCCTGTTGCATCTTTTGTTCATTCCGTTGGTTGGCTCTCACCACTGGAACAAATTCCAAGAAAGCCACTTGGTCTCCATGAACTGGAAGTGTCGGGCACTGTGGTGGCCCAGCAAGTTATTATTGAATTAAGGAGCAAATGAGTGGGATTCAGCCTGCCCTCAAAGAGCTTATGTTTTCTTAGGGAGACAAACCAGGTTCAAATACAAAGCAGAATTTGTTCGATTGTACAATGCAGTGGCAGCCATTAAGTCATTTAAACCCTAGCAATCTGTACAATAAAATCGTGCCCGTTTCTCTGCCACATTTTAAATCACTGGCTCTGAAAACTAGAAGAAAACCACACACCGATGCACTCGGTGCAGACATTGCAGCAGTTGCCATCTCCATTTTTCTGTTTTGCTCAAGGTTAAGTAATTTGTAGGTGCCATGCCCTTGTCACCAGGGACATTGTTGTGGCCGTGCGGTAGCTATCAGCAGTCTGCTTTCTGCTACCTTGAGGCTGTTTCGCCTCATGAGTAGCTTCACTAGCTAAGGCGGACGTCTGGTGCTTGGGTGGTAGGTGTTGACTCTCAGAAGACGAAGAGCCTGGTCCAGGCTGAAAGCAGAGCCAGGTGCTGCCCAGGGCTCCGTCCGCGGCTCTCTGCCCTGCCCTGCAGATTCACTCAGGAGCTCCTTGGTGGGCAAGGCCAGGTTTCATTCTCTTGGGTGCTCCCTACCCATCACTTCTGCCCATACAGGGCAAAGCCCGTCAGGCTAGGATGCCCCTTAAGATTTAGATGAAATGGAGCCAGCTAAAGCTCAGTTAGGGAAA